TGACAAATTCTCTCAATTATTGTTGGTCTGAAAATATGTTTATTTCATCTTTATTCTGGAGACAGAATTCTGGCCTGCGGGGGGGCAGAATCTTTCTGTGTAGATATTCTATTTTCTGGCTTTCACTTTTTTGACTGACAAGCCAGCTATTAAGGGCTGTTTGCAGATCATCTTTTTTCCTCTGACTGCCTCTGTCTTCTGGTTTTCAACTTTGGTAAACATTCTTTCTATTTATCTTGCTTATGACTCCTAGACCTCGTGAACATGGTGGCCTTCCTCACTTTGAGTGAAAGTTCAGTCAGTGTCTTTTCCAATACTGCTTATGCTCATTATTATTCATCCCTCTCCTTCAGGGAGTCCAAAAAACTGATACTGCACTTTCTAGCGGTATCTTCCTTTGCTGATTCTTTCACCCGTATTTTCTATCATTTATCTCTGCTTTGTTCTAGGCATTTTCTTCTGTTATAGCTTCCAGTTCATTAGCTATCTCTTAATCTTCAAAGCGCTAACTTCAGTCATTCTACTTTTCAATTCTAAATTTTCCACTTGTTTACTTTTTACAGTTCCAACCCTTTCTTGAAATGCTCAATCTTAACTTTTAGCTTCTTGAATACAACTACCTATTGTCATTGCAAAGTACGAGCATGATAATGCCAATATCTAGATGGTCATGAGTCTGTTTCTATCTTTTGTTGCTTCTAAGATGTATCATTTTTGTTGTCTCTATCTCTTGGTGCTTTTCTAGGGCTATTTTCTGAGTATGTACCAAGCACTGTATTTGCAAAATTATTTGAAGACATAAGTCAATACCCAGAAAGGTGTCTTCTCCTTTGGAGAAAATTTATGTTTGCTTCTTTAAGGTTTCTAGAAGCCCTAGCACTTTGGAGATGCATGAGGACAGTAATATTCTAAGTTCACCCTAAACTGATTTTAGGGATTTAAATGTCTGAAGTTAAGTGGTAATTTCTTTTTTTTTCTTTTTTGAGTTGAGTCTCACTGTCTCCCAGACTGGAGTGCAGTGGCCGCTCCCGGCCACCACCGCAGCCTCGACCTGCTGGGCTCTGGCGATCCTTCCGCCTCAGCCTTCCGAGTTGCTGGAACTACGGGCACGTGCTACCACACCCGGCTAATTTTTTTTTATTTATTGTAGAGACGAGGTCTCGCCTGCCCAGGCGGGTCTCGAACCCGCAGGCTCAGGAGTGATCATTTCAAGGTGGCCAACACCTTCTACGTCTGGTCCATCTTTACTCCTAGATGAGCCTTTCAGGGTCCCTACCCAAAGTGAAGAGATATCCAGAGCCACTTTGGACACCAAATCCTTTACTGCCTTAGTCCCCTGAAGTTATCAAAACCCCATCCGGCCTTTCATCCTCTCAACTGCCTTCTCCAGTTCCAGTTAATAAAGGCCCCAAGCCCTAGACTCCCCTCCCAGGGCTCCTCGCCCAGCCCAGATCCTGGCCTGGTAACTCTTCACTAGCCTGCTAGCACTTCACTTCAAGCACAGTTTTTTAAAAGTCGAGCTTACCTATTTGTCCTCAGTGGATGGTTTGGTGCAAACTACTTAATCTGTCATTACCCAATGATCAAGCCTGAAAGAATTCACATTTAACTATAAACATCCTGAGGAAAACTTACTTCTAAAGCAGAATTCTACAACCAGTTAAACTTTCCATCAGGCCTGAAAAGAGAATAGAAGTATTTTCAGACATATAAGACCTCAAAAATAAGCTCTACCTCAGTGGAAAGTAAGCATACAAAGAAGACAACAGAGAACACAAAGAAGGAAAATGGAGGGAAGCCTGGAAAACCTCCAGAATAATGGTGAAAGGAGTTCCCAAGATGACAGTTATACAGCTAGTCTTGAAAGCAGCCCACATTTGAAAATGGTGAGCTCCAGGAAAGATATCGTCACAGGGAAAAAAAAAAGAAAACGGACAGATTACTTGATCTGTCTGAACACGCTGAGAGAAGATTTACACTTGTGTCAGGGTTTTAAAGAACCGATGACAAGTATGTTTAGAAAAAAATGAAAACGAGACAATTAATCAATCCCTGGGAAAATGAAAACAGTACAAAAAAATAAGTGTATTTATAGTTATAATATCTGACTCAGCTGTGAATAACATTCACCATCTTAACCTAATCCAACCCAAAATTAAGATAGTCACTCCTGACAGGATGAGGGGATGGAAGTTGAATGTAAGATAGTCAAACCCTCATCTTTCACAGTAGTGCACCATCAGATAAACAGCTAAAAGTAAAAGTTAAAATATGCCAGTACGAAACATTACTTGGAAACAGGGGCAAAATGCCAAAAAAAAGAGTTAACGGTATCCCTCCTAAGAACTGGAAGAGACAAGGATTCTCCACTGTCATCCCTCCTGTCCAACATGGTAGCAGAAGCCCCAGATGGAGCAATCAGGCAGGAGAAGGAAATCGGAGGCATGCAAAGAGGAAATGAGGAAGTTAAGCCATCCCTCTTTGCAGATGATAAGACTCTACACCTAGGAAACCCTAGAGTCTGTCAAAAACCTCCTCATGCTGATAAATGGTTGGGTAAGGTGTGGGGATACAACATTGATGCATCAAAGACAGCTGCATTTCTATATACCAACAACAAGCAGGCTGACAACCAAATAAAAAAACATAAGTCCACGGACAATAGCCACACACACACACACACACACACACACACACACACACACACACACACACACACACACACACAATGAAATACCTTGGCATCCACCCAACCAAAGAAGCAAAAGATCTTTACAATGAGAACTACAAAACACTGCTCAAAGAAATCAAGGACAATACAAACAAATGGGAAAACATCCCATGCTGATGGATTAGAAGAATCCATATTGTCAAGATGTCCATCCTACCCAAGGCAATCTACATCAAATCAATCCTTATCAATTGCCATCATCATTTTTCACAGGCCTGGAAAAGACAATACAGAAATTCACATGGAAACATAAAAGAGTGCAAATAGCTACAGCAATCCTCAGCAAAAGGAACAAAGCTGAAGGCATTACACTTTCATACTTTGAACTTTATTACAAGGCTACAGTAACCAAGACGGCATGGTACTGGCACAGGAATAGGCGCATGGATCAATGGAACAGGACAAAGAATGCAGAAACAAAAATGTAGTCCCTCAACCAACTCATCTTTGACAAAGCGATAAGCAACAAAGTACTGGGGAAAGGAAACCGTATTTAGCAAATGGTACTGGGAAAATTGGCTAGCCACAAACGATGACAAACAAAAAGTTAAAGCCCTATTGTCTAGATCTTCTATCAAGTACCACTCAAATCAGATTATGAGTAAGTTATAACCCCCACTTGAAAGAAGTGTTTTGACACGACACAATCTCACAGACACACTCTATGGAACAGATTCCCTTTACTAGTGTCTGGTAAAAGTACATTACTTCTAGAAACTTAATCATCTTTCAGCAGCCTAAATCAACAAAGCAGCAAACTGACCAGACAGCTGTGGTTCTAAATTTCTCATATGTCCCCAGGCCAAACTTGTAATCTTAGAACCCTTACCATGAAACTTAACCATTCAATCCCTTAACTTCTCTTTAAGGTGGCAAGTAATGGCAATAATGTCCTCGACATCAAAATTAAGCCACAGGAATAAGCTCAAACTTAGCAAGAGAGTGACTAAATATTCTCGTAATCACAAACTTGGGAACTTCTTTAATGAACAACATAAACTACCTATCTATCTTAACCAATAAACCATCTTTACTTCAACTTACTAAACAGAACAATTTTTGTTATACCCTAAGAGAAACAAAGAAATGTTAGCTAAAGTAGCTACTAACTATATAAAGGGACAATGATCTTGTCTAAATTATGATTTGGAACAATCAACATGATTATGTATCATTAAGTACATTTTTGCATCACTTTCTAAGTACATTTTTGCATCACTTTCTATATCTTTGCATAAGGTGTAATTTTAAAACACATTCTCAAAGGTATACCTAAGTTTTAAAATAAACAGCACTTTAGCAAATGGCATTAACAGAAAAATTCAATATGGCCAACATTACCATGGACTTGCTTTTAACCCAAAGTGCAAATGGTCAACCATTTAGAGATTCTCTTGCTAAGCATAAAAAACATTGTTATCAAGCCTAATGTTTTCCTTATGAAACATTTCTAAACTAGTCTTAATAAGTTTTCTCGACCAAACCATAACCTCCATGTGTCCCACCCACAGAACTGCGCCTGGATAAGCTGATGGCAGCCTTCACGAGTGGCGAGCCTATGGTAGGAAAGGTCTTCAGAGCAAGACTTGAGACCAGTGCTTCCCTACAACTCTTCCACTTCTTCTGAGACCGAAATTCAAGCCAGAAAACTGAGACAACTCTTGTTCTTATAAATGCTTTCTGCTTCCCTTCCAACAGCCGGTGTACTTCTTCCTACTGTGCCAGCTACTTTATGAGACAGCAATCAGCAAACAGTAATACACTTTCCCCCAAAATTAACAATATCAATGGGTAGGTGGGACTGCAGGTAATGTTTTTATTTATTTTCTAATTTTCAAACAAGTGTAAATATAATTTTTTAAAGGGCTCTCTTAATTTTGTTTTAAATCTAACCAAAAGTGGCAAATACTTCAATTTGGAACTCAATTTTATTTTTCACACTAGCCACACAGTGAAGCCAAAAATAACTTCTGCTAAACTCAGTGAATGTTAATATGGACATGTAATATAATGAAAGTTACACAAACACTGTGTGGTGCTCTTTTGTATTTTCTTAAAGAAATTATGTATGTATTATATATAGCCAAGTTAAAAGAAATATTAATATTCTTTTACATTTTCACAATGACTTTTTTCTAAAAGAAATTACCAGGATTATAATAAAACCTATAAAGAAACAAACTCAGTATATAAATGCTTTCTTCTACAAATACTTAAGAAACATGTTTAATATAAACGGTAAGATCAAAGTGTGAAGAAGAAGCATTACCTCTTTGTGTTTCATGTCCAGCTGACTCCTGAGAGTCTTAAGCTCCTGTTCACGGATGTCCAAACAAGTTTCTAGAGCATGTGTCTGCCCTTCCCATTCAGATTTTTTATGAGCTACCATTATGTCAATCTGCTTCATAAGCTCCTGTAGTTCTGCTTCACAAGATGTCAAAAATCCCCTATAAATAAGAACAGATCAGTAAGAACATAGAATAAATGTCCAAGTGGCTTTTCATCTTTCTTATGTAAAAATATAGCAGATATAAACCTACCTAAAGTAGAGAAACGTCAACTAATAAATAACCAGACGCAAAGAACAGGATTTCCGAGCTTTTGCTTTTAATGCTCACATTAAGATGATTACTTATTCCACAGGATAGCTTGTCTTCCTCTGACAGCCACCCTAAAGCCCCAATCATTTTGATAAGCACAAGATTGATGTTTTAAGTCTGTCTTGTGGAGTGAAACTTCCACAACTAACAAACAGCTCTTTTGAAATACTTTAGGGAAGCTTTCGGAAGAATCCAGATAAACCTACGTGTCACATTTTCATCTACCCAAAATAAAAAGCCTTGAAAGAGAGCTGTTTGAGAGCTTGTACTACCACAAGAAAGTGACAGCACAGTTTTAAGAGCTGCTCAAGAAATTAATCCTTGAGTCAGATTTATTTCAACTATTTCTTTCACTTTTTTGTTAGAAACGTAATGTAAAACTTAAGACCTTATTATTGTAAACCCACTGATGTACTTCCAAGTTTCAAGAGCCGTCAGACATTGTAGAAGTGGAAACAGAGGTGGACACAGATGGGTTATATTCAGAGTTTTCCAGAAATGGTCACAAAGTACTATCACTAGGGCTTGAACACTTTTTAAAAGAAACACTTTTTCTTAGTGTGACAAAAGCTCTATACGCCTGTACTTTCACTTTTGCTTTTTAAGAGGAGAAAACCCCAAGTGCGATGAAGGCAAGCATCCAGCCCACACGGCTGAGCTGAGGCCAACATTCCAGAAAGAGACGCCGTCCACAACCAAGACCTGGATGGGCTTAGTTTCTGCTCAACACTTTTGCTTCTGTGCCCAGAGCACAATATGGTCAGAGGCATAACTCAGATACGCTTTCCAAACTGCAATGAGAAACTTGAAATGAGAAGAAAACTCACTAGAGGGAACCCACATACACTGCCCTAGGGGCCTGAGGAAGGGCCCAAGGCCGCCACCACCTGTACCCACACACACTGTTTCCGGCACTAGGGATCAAGCCACCACTGTCTGGGGGCCTGAGGAGAGATCCCACCTCACCTGCCACCAGCACCCCTGAGCACCATCTAGGGACCAAGGAAACACCCACCCCATCCACTTCTGCCACCACCAGTGCCTGTGCATGTTATCCAGGGGTTTAAAGATCACTCTGCTCTGCCCACCAGAACCAGTGCCTGCACATGCCATCCAGGGGTCTGAGGACAGGCCCATTCTGCCCAGTGCGGCCATCATTGACTGGTACCTGAGAACTGGCACACCTGGTGTCCCTGTCCTCAACAAAGCCTCATGATAACCTCCACTAACAACTACAGTCTAAGACACTGAGGACCTCCTAGGTACCACTGATACTGATCATGGCCAAAAAAGTCATAGATACTACACTCCTACACCCACCAAGAATCAAAGCCAAAGCCAATCCATATACTTGGGAGAAGCAACTGTTAAAACTGCATGTGCAGATATCAACATAATGACACTATAAGCATGAAAAAGTAAGAAAATATGAAGCCTCCAAAAGAACACAAGAATTCTCTGGTAACAGATCCCAAAAGAAGAAAATGTATTAAAGGCTTTGAAAAAGAATTCAGAATAACTACATTAAAGAAACTCAGGAAGACATAAGAAAGTGCAGATAAACAATACAAAGAAATCAGGAAAAAAAATTCATGATCTGAAAGAGAAATTCAACAAGGAGATAGATATCATAAAAAAAATCCTGAAGTGAAGAATTTAATGAATAAAATAAAAAATGCAATTTGAGAATCTCAACTATAGACTAGAACAAGCAGAGAAAAGAATTTCTGAACTTGAAGACAGGTCTTTTGAAATAACCCAGTCAGATAAGAGAATTAAAAAGAATGAAGAAAGCCTACGTGACATATGAAAGATCATGAAGTGACCAAATATTCAAATTCTTGGAGCTGCAGAAGGACAAGAGATGGGCAAAGACACAAAAAACCTATCTAACAAAATAACAGCTGACAACTTCTCAAGTCTTGCAAGAGATACAGACATCCACGTGAAGGAAACTCAAAGATTCCCAAATAGAGTCAACCTAAAACGTCTCCTCCAAGGCACATTATAAACAAACTGTCAAAAGTCAAAGACAAAATATTCTAAAAACAGCAAGAGAAAAGTATCAAATAACATAAAAGAGAATCACAGCAAACCTACAGCAGATTTCTCAGCGGAAAAATTACAGGTCAGGTGAGAATGGAATGAAACACTCAAAGTGCCAGCTAAGAATATGATACATAGCTGATAAAATCATCCTTCAAAAATGAAGGAGAAACCGGGCTCGGTGGCTCAGCCTGTAATCCCGCGCCTTGGGAGGCTGAGGTGAGTGAATTGCCTGAGCCCGTGGGTTCGAGACCCGCCTGGGCAACTTGGTGAGACCTCATCTCTACAATAAATCAAAAATTAGCCAGGTGTGGTAGTGCGCACCTGTAGTTCCAGCTACTTGGAAGGCTGAGGCGGAAGGATCGCCAAAGCCCAGCAGGTCGAGGCTGTGGTGGCCAGGAGCAGCCACTGCACTCCAGTCTGGGTGACAGAGTGAGACTCCAACTCAAAAAAAAAATGAAGGAGAAATAAAATATTTCCCAGACAAGCAAAAACTGAGAGAATTCATCACCTCTAGACCAGACACACAAAAAATGCTTATGGAAGTCCTACATCCGGAAGCAAAAGGATGGTCTCTACTATCATGAAAACACGCAATCACACAAAACTCACAAATGAAAAAGGGAAAGGAGTCGAATGTTATCACTACAGAAAAAAACTAGCAAATCATAAAGGTAAACAATAAAAGAAGGAACAAAAAACAAAGGATATACATGGTCATCAGAAAGCAGTTAACAAAATGACAGGAGTAAGTCCCCACCTATCTCTAACAAGCCAGAATGTAAACAATTTAAATTCCCCATTTAAAACATACAGACTGGCTGAATGGATTTAAAAAACAAGACCCAACTATATGCCACCTATAAGAAATCGCTTCATCTGTGAAGATACATATAAACAAAGTGAAGAGATGGGAAGAAATATTCTACACAATGGAAACCCAAAGTGTGCAGAAATAGCCACACCTACACCAGACAATTTAGGTTTAAGTAAAAAAACATAAAAGGAGACCAAGAAGATAATACATATTAAAAAGGAATCCATTCAGCAAGAGGATATTACAACTCTGTAATATTATCCTCTGTAAATATATATGCACCCAGCTCTGGAGCACACATATACACAAAGCAAATATAATTAAGAACTAGAGAGAGAGATAGAACCCAATACAATAAGAGTTGGAAAGTTCAACACCACACTTTCAGCATTGGACTGATCATCTAGATAGAAAACCAACAAACACCAGACCTATTCTCCACTACAGACCAAAAAGACCTAAAGACAGTTACAGAACATTTCATCCAACAGTTGCAGAATACACAGTCTTCTCTTTGGCACATAAAACATTGTCCAGGGTGCACAATGTGGTAGGCCACAAAACAAGTCTCAACACATTTTTAAAATTGAAACTGTATTAAGTATCTTAGACTACAATGGAATAAAACCAGAAATCAATAACAAGAGAAACTCTGGAAATTGTACCAATACGTGGAAATTAAACAATATGATCCTTAACAACCACTGGGTCAATGTAGAAATTAAGAAGAAAATAAATAAATTTATTTAAACAAATAAAATGAAAACGCTGCATACCAAAACCTACGGGATGCAGCAAAAGTAGTGCTAACAGGGAATTCTGTAGCAATAAATACCTACATCAAAAAAGTAGAAAGATTTCAAATATAACAGCCTGACGATATACCTCAAGGAACTAGCCAAGCAAGAACAAACCAAAACTAAAATTATTAACAGGAGGGAAATAATAAAGATCAGAGCAGAAATACATAAAATAGAGAGGTGCACACACACACAAAATATATATATATATAAATATACACACACACACGTGTGTGTATATATATATACACATATATATGTGTGTGTGTATATATATATATACATACATATGTATGTGTGTGTATATATATATATGATCAATGAAACAAAAATTTAGTTTTTTGAAAAGATAAACAAAATTGATAAACCATTAGCTAGACTAATCAGAAAAATGGCATAAATAAAATCAGAAACAAAAAAAACAATAATTACAACTAATACCACAAAAATATAAAGGATCATTAGAGACTATTATAAACAACTATGCACTAATGAATTGGAAAAGCCAGAGGAAATGGATAAATTCCTAGACAAATATAACCTACCAAGATTGAACCAGGAGGAAACCGAAGATCTGAACAGACCAATAACAAGTAACAAGATTGGCGGCTCAGCCTGTCATCCCAGCACTTTGGGAGGCCAAGGCGAGTGGATTGCCTGACCCAGAGGGTTTGAGACCCGCCTGGGCAACTTGACGAGAACTCGTCTCTACAATAAATAAAAAATTAGCTAGGCATGGTAGTGCGCACCTATAGTTCTGGCTACTCAGAAGGCTGAGACGGAAGGATCACCAGACTCACCAAGTCGAGGCTGTGATGGCCGGGGGCGTGCCACTGCACTCCAGACTGGACAACACAGTGAGACTCCAACTCAAAAAATAAAATAAAATAAGTAACAAGATTGAATCAGGAATAAAAAGTCTCCTAACAGAAAAAAGCCCAGGACCTGGTGGTATTACTGCTGAATACTACCAAATTTATAAAGAACGAACAACAATTCTTCTAAACTATTCCAGAAAACTAACAAGAGGGAATTCTTCCTAACTCATTCAACAATGCCAGCTTTACCCTTGTCATAAACAGACAAGGACACAACAAAAAAATAAAACTTCAGGCCAATATCCTGATGAATACAGATGCAAAAATCCTAGTAAATCAAATTCAACAACACATCAAAAAGGTAACATATCATGATCAAGTAGGATTTATTCCAGGAATGCAAGGCTGATTCAACATACACAAATTAATAAATGTGATTTATCACATCAACAAAATGAAAGACAAAAACCATATGATTATCTCAACAGATACAGAAAAGGTATTTAATAAAATTCAAGATCCTTTCATGATAAAAAAGAAAGAAAGAAAGAAAGAAAGAAAGAAAGAAAGAAAGAAAGAAAGAAAGAAAGAAACTCTCAACAAATTAGGCATGGAAGGAACATGTCTCAACATAATAAAGGCCATATATGACAAACTCCCAGCTAACATCATACAGAATGGGGGAAAGCTGAAAGCCTTTCATCTAAGATCTAGAACAAGACAATGATGCTTACAATGACACTTTCATCACTCCTATTCAACACAGTACTGGAAGTCCTAGCCAGAGCAATCAGGCAAGAAAAAGGAAATAAATGGCACCCAAATTGGAAAGGAGAAAGTCAAACTGTCTCTCTTTATAGACAACATGAATTTATATACAGGAAAACAAAGACTATACCAAAAAAGTCTTAGAACAGATCAAAGGATTCAGTAAAGTTACAGGATACAAAATCAACACAAAAAATCAGTAGTTTCTATATGCCAATAACAATCTAGCTGAAAAAGAAATCATAAAAAGCAACTATATTTATAATACCTACAAAAAATAAAATAAAATACCTAGAAATAAACTTAACCAAGTAGGTGAAAGATCTATATAATAAAAACTACAAAACACTGATGGAAGAAACTGAAAAGGACACAAACAAGTGAAAAGATATCTCATGTTCATGAATCAGAAAAATACTGTCAAAATGACTATACTATCCAAAGCTATCTGCAAATTCAGTGCAATCCCTATCAAAATACCCATTACATTCTTCACGGAAATAGAAAATATAATCCTTGGCAGTAGTGGGAAACTGCCGGGGGGGGTGGGGTGGGTGGGATTGGCAGTAGTGAGAAACTGCCGAGAAACTTCATCAACAAGGGTACCTGCATAATAAACATTTGTATATCTAACCCTGAAATGTATCCCACATCTTTAAAATAAAAATAAATAAAATAAAAAGAAAATATAATCCTAAAATTGATATGGAACCACAAAAGGTCCTCAATAGTCAAAGCAATCCTCAGCAAAAAGAACGAGGCTGGAGGCATCACACTACCTGACTTTAAAACACACTACCAAAGTATAGTAACCTAAACAGCATGGTATTGTTATAAAAACAGACACATCAACCAATGGAACAGAACAGAGAGCCCAGAAATAAATCCATGAATTTACAGACAACTGATTTTCAATAAAAGCGCCAGGAACATACACTGGGAAAAGGATAACCCCTTCAATTAATGGTGCTGGAAAAACTAGATATCTGTAAGCAGAAGAATGAAATCACACTCTATACAAAAGTCAACTCAAAATGGATTAAAAACTTTTTTGTGTAAGACTCAAAACTATAAAGTTACTAGAAGAGAAGGGGCCAGGCACAGGCTCACACCTGTAATGCCAACTACTTGGAGGGCAGAGGCAGGAGGATTGCTTGAGCCCTGGAGTTTGAGGCTGCAGTGAGTTATGATCATGCTACCGCACTCCAGCCTGGGTGACAGAGCAATACCCTGTTTCTATAAACAAGAAAACATAGAGGAAACGCTTCGAGACAGTGGTCTAACCAAAGATTTTATGGCTCAGATTTCAAAAGCATCGGCAACAAAACCAAAAACAGACAAATGGGACTATATTAAACGCGAAAGTTTCTGCACAGCAAACGATCAACGGAGTCAAGAGACAACTGAAGAGTAAAAGAAACTATCCATCCAACAAAGGACTAACATACAGAATATACAAGAAACCACAACTCAATAGCAAAAAAAAAAAAATTCTATTAAAATGTGGGCAAAGGATCTGAATCAACTTTTCTCAAAAGAAAACATGCAAATAACCAACGGGTATGTGAAATAAATCCGCAACATCATTAACCATCAGGGAAACGCACAACCAAACCAAAATGAGGTATCATCTTACCCCAGTTTAGAATGATTATCATCAAATAAATAAATAGATAAATGCTGGCGAGGATGTGAAGAAAAGAGAACTCATACACTACTGGTGAGAATGTACATCAGTACAGCCATTATGAAAAACAATACGGCAGTTCCTCAAAAAACTAAAAACAGAACCACCAGCGATCCCAACCTTGGGTATTTCATCCAAGGAAAGGAAATCAGTCTTTCAAAGCAGTCTTTCACTGTCATGGTGATTGCAGCTTTAGTCACAATAGCCAATATATGGAATTTCCCCCAGTGTCCATCGGCGGATGAACGGATAAAGAAAAGGTGGTGTGCCTGTACAATAAAATACTACTCAGCCATTAAAAAGAATAAATCCTGTCATCGGCACCAACGTGGATGAAGCTGAGGTCACTATATTAAGTGAAATGAGCAAAAGCCAAATTCACGTTCTCATCCGTATGTGGAATCTGAACAAGTTGATCACGTGGAGGCACGAGAGTATAAGAGTGGTCACCACAGGCTGGGAGGGGAAGGTAAAGGAAAGTTGGTTAATGGGCACCAACATGCAGTTAGGCAGAAAAATAAGTTCCAGTGCTCAATAGCACAGCAGGGTGACTACTAAGTAAACAGCACTTTAGGGTGACGAGGACAGTAAGGCCTTTTCCTTAAGCCTCTGCTGTACACCGTACACTTTTAAGTAGCCAGATGAGCTGAAATGTTCCCAAGACAAAAAAATGATAAATGGAGGAACGTGAGAGCTGTTGCGTATATTAAATACCCTGATTTGGTCATTACACATCATATGCATGCAAAGTATCACACATACCCCATCAATATGTGTAATTATGGATCAATTCAAAAAGTAATTTTAAAAAAGCACACTTACCTACCAGGCCCTCGACTCTGCATTCCTTCCAGCAAAGCCTCCATCATCAAATTCCCTCTGTTTTGGTAACTGATTAAAAAAAAAAAAAAATCAGTCATGAGAAAATTAATTCCTACATTTTAACATTCTAACTTACAACTTAAGAATGTGAATGAAGACATATAAACAACAAGAAAATCAGCACTTCTTAAGATGACTATAGAAACAGTCAAAGAATATCACTGCAAGAAATATTAGGCCAAATAATCTCAGACTAAAAGAAAATAGCTTCAATTATCTGAATTGCCGTTGAAACTCTCCCCACATGACTGCTATCAAATACTTCACTGTTTTTGGCCTAGTTCCTAAAGTAAGGGTGGGCCAGGGTGGAGCTGGAATCTTGCCAGCAGACACACATGAACATAAATCCCCTTACAAAATGAGAGAAAGAAATCAGGGTTACACATGTCAGGGGAAATAGGGAGAGAGCGAGGGAGGGAGGGCGGGCGGGAAACAAGACGAAATGCACTGAAGCTGAGTTCCCTGGTCCTCATTGGAGCGCCTACTCCCCCCAAAGACAGGCGCCTGCAGCTTCCCACAACACCTGCCCTCCTCTGCCCCGCAGTGCGCCTGGTCCTGAACAGGCTCTCTCACAGCACGTACACCCAACTGCAAGTGAGGGCTGCACATTCTTTTTCCTTACCAGACTATCCATCACTCCAGGGCAGACAGCCAATTGTCTTCAACTCTGCAGCTCCAGAACCCAGGGCTTGTGACTGAGCTTATCTCAACTCCCCTCACCTTTACTTCCATCAAGCTGAAGGACCACAGGGAAGGGTCCAGCAGAGAGAGAGGGGAGGGGGACAGAAGACTGCCATGAAAGGGAGAGGTATCATGGAGGAAGGAAGGTGAGAGTGAGGAGAAAGAAGACCCCGAAATCCGGAAGTGCAGATGAGAGAAGTCTGTGCCTTCGTCACAAATCTCCAAAATGTTCATCAGTGCCAAACCACTTTCCCCTCCTGAGAACGGCCCTTTCTCCTGAAGCCTTGAGACGATAACTAAAGGCTGCAGTGCCAAGGTTCTGCCCCTTTGTCCAGATGCCTCATCTAGACAGTATATTGCTCCAAGAGTTAGATTCTTTCATTCAACTAGGAGTTCGGTGTTGCACTAACAGCTCAATATATAGTGATGGATGAGACAGAAAAAAATTAGCCAAAAACGCTCCGCTAGTGTGATAAATACAGCGACAGACGCCAACCCAAGGTGTTCCGGAGACAGAGGAGAACAAGAATCCTGGAAAACACAGCCACCAAGTGCCCAATTTGCATCTATGACTAACAACTCGAGTATTAAACTATTCATGCACAAATATCGCGGCAGGATTTTTTTTCTAGTTGGTTTATCCTACATATTTCACCAACATCACACAAAATAAAAACCTAAAGAAAAAGCTTTCCACGTTCTGTTCCACTTTTTTTCAAACCATGAAATCAACCCCAAACCAAGGTTTAGGTCCACTTGAGGAGAAGTGGGAGGTGGCACATGGTCCACACAGTACTAGGTGGAGAACCAGCATATACTGCTCTACAACTAATTAGCTTTGTGTCCTTGGACTTCAGTTTTTGCATCTGTAAAATAAGGGGCAGGAGCAAAAATCTCCGAAGTTTCTTCCAGTTTTTTCAAGGGCTTCTAATAGCCAATTCAATATCCACTGTAAGCCAGGCATGGTGGCACACAACTGTAGTCTCAGTTACTCGGGAAGCTAAGGCAGAAGGCTTGCCTAAGCCCAGGAGGTCAAGGCTGTGGTAAGCTGTGATCATGCCACTGCACTCCAGCCTGGCGACAGAGTGAGAAAAAATCCACTGTAGATAGCATTTCCTGACAGCTATATGGACACTTTTAAATACACAGGAAAATGCTATTCCTAACGACAGTGCTTCTACAGTTACACAAAATTATCATTAGCAAAATTATACTTCTTTGGGTCACATTATTCTTAAACACTAATATATCTAGTAATACAATAGATGATCATATTTTCTAGATGACTACTATTTAATAATTAACAATATTTATAATAAAAGTTAAAAGCCATTGACTGTTCGACCGTCCCAGGTGCCTTGTACACACTGTCTAATTCAATCTTTACAACACTCATAAAAGATACAATTACTTTGAGGAAACTGAGTTTGGAGGCTTAAATAACTTGACTATGACAAACTACAAATTACAGTCCTGGGATTCAGGCCAGAGAGCATGACTTGAGTCCCAACCAAGTCCGATATTTACACATTTTACAGTAATCCAGATCTTATACTATATCAGCATATCTTCTTTTGGTTCAACAATGTCTTGGCACTAAAAAAATGACAAGGATAAAATCACCACCGTGGCCACCAGGTGGCAGAGGCACAATGAAAGAGTCCACATAAGAAAAACCGCCACTCCCGAAATCAAAACAATTGTCTGAGACAAAGAGATCCCTGTTTTACAAACCTGGGAGGTGGGGAGGGGGGACCGGCAACATCCTCCGTGGAAGTACACTTACTACCGTGCAGGGTGTTCCCTAAACAACACCTTCACTACCTGCGAGACGCCTGAGGATCAGGTAAGAAGTGCAAGGACTCAGATTTTTGCGGACCTCGGGCACCTGAGCTGCTCACGGCTATGTCACTGATTACTTTCTCAACAACCTTACCCTCCTCATTCAACTCCACACACTGTGCCACCTTCAATTCCTTCTTTGCCTGTGCCATGTGATAAAGAATTATGTAAAGTTAGATATTCCCTGTTAGAATATTAGATAGAAATTGAAATAGATACGATAGGATAACCTGCCCCTCCTTACCCTGGCATGAAATACTAAAGTGGCTAAATGGACGATGTATACCTCCACAATTAGTACAATCTTATTTGTTTCTGCAGTTAGAACAAAACATCAACAAACAAACCTTATTAATTATAACTCTCCTGTGGCATGAAGGCTGTCTTACATCAATGAAATCTGGAACTGGATGGCTAAAGGAAATACAGGTTTTTGCATCAACTCTGGGGAATGGGGAAAACACTTAAAACGTGAGAGAAACAAATGCAAATAAAATGTCTGATAATAGGCGCTCTTTGAAATTCATTAACATAGAATTTAAGAGGTAAAAAGCACTAGTTTAACCTCATTTTACAGATCAGGAAAAATATCAGAGTATATGCCCAAGATCAAATTACTCACAAAACAAGACAGGAAGAAAATAAAAACTCCAGACAGAGTTATGAATAAATGCTACATGCTAAGAGAAGAAACATGCCTACTTCAAGTCTAAAGGAGGATGAAAACGCTCTGTCCCTTTACCTGTCTCGGTGCCATTGTCAGCACAAAGATCTATTATGTGTGTCAGATATACTATGGCCAGTAAACCATGGCTGTTGCAATGAACCACCAGTATCAGTTAGCATTTCCCAGAAAGGCTCCTCACTAAACTTAAGGGGGGAAGTCAGCAGATAAAGTATTAGACAAATTTTTCAAAATAAAAATAAACTTTTAAAAAACTTGTCCAGGCCGGGCTCGGTGGCTCAGCCTAGTAATCCCAGCGTTTTGGGAGGCCGAGGTGAGTGGACTGCCTGAGCCCGCAGGTTCGAGACCCACCTGGGCAACTTGATGAGACCTCATCTCTACAATAAATTAAAAATTACCCAGGCGTGGCAGCTCGTGGCTGTAGTTCCAGCTACTCGGAAGGCTGAGGGGAAAGGATCGCCGGAGTCTAGCAGGTCGAGGCTGCGGAGGCCGGGAGCGGCCACTGCACTCCAGTCTGGGTAACAGAGTGAGATTCCAACTCAAAAAAAACCAAAAAACAAAAAAAACTTGTCCAGCCGGGTGTGGTGGCTCATGCCTGCAATCCCAGCACTTTGGGAGGTGGAGACAAGAGGACTGCCTGAGTCCAGGGGTTCGAGACCAGCCTGGGCAACTTGACAAGACGTGTATCTACAATAAATCAAAAAATTAGCCAGGCATGGTAGTGGTTCCAGCTACTCAGAAGGCTGAGACAGAAGGATCACCTGAGTCCCGCAGGTCGTGGCCAGGGTGGTTATGAGTGTGCCACTGCACTCTAGCCTGGGTGACAGAGACTCCAACTCAAAAACAAACAGTTAAAAAAAAAATTGTTGGAAAGCTGAGGTGGAAGGATTGCCGGAGCCCAGCAGGTAGAGGCTGCAGTGGCCGCGGCCACTGCACTCCAGTCTGGGCGACAGAGTGAAACTCCAACTCAAAAAAAAAAATGTGTCCTGCCAAACACAGTGGCTCATGCTTGCAATCGCAGCACTTTGGGAGGCTGAGGCAAGAGATTGCTTAAGACCAGCCTGGGCAACATAGCAAGACCTCGTCTCTTTAAAAAATTAGCCAGGCATGGTGGCAGATGCCTGTAGTCTCAGCTACTCGGGAGGCTGATTCAGGAGGATCACTTGAATCTAAAGCTGCAGTGAGCCGTGATCATGCCACTGCACTCCAGCCTGAGTAACACAGTGATATCCTGACTCAAAAAAAACAACCAACAGCAACAACAACAAAAAAACACCTGCCCAAACTCTAACTCACAATCCAGGAATAACAATGAGCAAGACTGAGTACATAAAAATGCAAATAAACTTTATATGAAAAAAATGCCGTAAGCAAGTTAAAAGACAAATTATAACAATGGTTGCAAGTTTTACAGCAAAGGGACAATTATCCAAATATATAGAGAGCCAATAAAAATTAGGAGGAAAAAAAATCTACAAAAACATGGGCAACAGATATGAATAAGCAACGCACAGAAAAACAAATACAAACAACATTAAAGCATATGAAAAGAGGCCTAACCTTGCTCATAAGAAGAGAAACCCAAATTAAACTTACTGAGTTGCCTTTGCTTCTGTGTCAGTTTAACCGAAAGTTAGGAGTGTGACAGCATACTCTGATGACCAGACGGGGACGACAGGCACTCCCACGCGCTGTGGGTAGGAACCCAGAATGGCACAGGGACTCGGGAGGAGGTTTTGACGACCCTAGCAACTACCACAGGCACTCACCTGCCATCCAGTCACGCGACTTCCAGGAGTCTATCCCAGAGACACGCTGGCAAAAACGCAAACTCACATATGCACAAGGATATTCCCTGCAGGACTATCTGCATAGTAATAGCAGGAAATCACACAAACGCCTGTCAAGAGGGAACTAGTTAAATATTTGTCCACCAGAGGAATACCGTGACACTGTAAAAAGCAAATCACAATCTCTACATACATCGATGGCGAGAGCTACACGGCATACATCATGGGGTGAGAAAAGCAAGATACAAAACAGCATATGTAAAGAGTATCTTTTGTCTAAGAAAGGAAGGAGGGTGAATCCACATATATTTGCTTTTATGTGCATTTTTTCCCAAAACCAGTAAAAATGACACCTACGAGGAGAAACAGAGTAGTAGAAATTGGATGAAAGCTAAACGTCTCTGTTTGCACCTTGTTCCATAGGTACTTGTTTTATAGGAACCATGCTAATGTTCTATACATGATAAAACAAATCAAAATAAAAGCATTCCTGAAAAACCAGAAACAAAATGCAATAAATCAATTAGATATCAAGTCCACCGACTAACCATAAAACAAATTCTTCCATATGCCTTTAAAACACAGTGAATGTGCTGTTCATATCCCTAGAGGCACATATACTAAGAATAAAAAAGATCTGCAAAGAAATCCTAAGAACTATTCAGGAATCATATCGGTAACAATAAGATTAATATCATTTACAACCATTACATTATATATAATATAGGATTAAAAAAGTAATTCTATCAATGGCAGTAGGCACCAAGACTTTTTAAAGAAAGGAGAAAAAGATACAAATATAAAGCAAATGTGTTTTTTAAAAACTGCAAAACTTAAGTTTAAATTGGAAACTGTACACTCTGCAAACATCTCTTTTTAGAAAGTGTATTTCCTAACCTCGGCCATTGTAACTCGCTAATCAGTGGCCAACCCAGTCACACTCAGGTCCCAATACCATCTCCCACGCAAAGCAGCCAGGGCTCTTTGGAGGCCAGAAATGTATAAATGAACCAGGAAAATGGTTTATCAGAAAGCAAGAAAATTACCAAAACTATGGGTCATATCAAATAGAATAGGAGCCAACTTAAAGGGACTCCCACTGGCCAAAGACAGGACAAACTGCATATACAAAAAGACCAAGCCGGGCTGGGTGGCTCAGCCTGTAATCCCGCACCTTTGGGAGGCAGAGGTGAGTGAACTGCCTGAGCCCGCGGGTTCGAGACCCGCCTGGGCAGTGAGACCTCATCTCTACAATAAATCAAAAAAATTAGCCGGGCGTGGTAGCGCATGCCTGTAGTTCCAGCTACTTGGAAGGCTGAGGCGGAAGGATTGCCGGAGCCCAGCAGGTCGAGGCTGCGGTGGCCGGGAGCGGCCACTGCACTCCAGTCTGGGCGACCCAGTAAGACTCCAACTCAAAAAAAAAAAGAAGGCCGCAATATGTCGAAACAGCTTAAACATATTAACATCTACCAGTGTGTGATGACAGTTTTAAAGACAAAAACCCTCACGGTTACCTTCGGAGGTTGCTAGGCCACCAACTCATTACTGTAGTCTGAAAAGAGAGGGAAAGAATTAAGTGCTTTTCTTGTCTTTCCTGTACAAACTGTATTTCAGGGTAGTTAAACAGCTGATGGTGGGAAGTTCTTCTCCCTAAGAGATTCTCAGTTATAAACACTGAAGGACAGATGAGAAAATCATCACTGGGCAGCTGCTAACACAATAAGCACAGGTAGCCTAAACCCATGAAGGATGACTTCACGAACACTACATGAAAAGGTCTTGGGAAATTTCACGATGGAGGGATTCAGCTGACAGCACCTGAACCCACTTCAAAACTCAGTCTCAACGTCACAAAAGACAAATAACTCAGACCTCACTTACTTCCCTGATAGTTAATCAAACAGGAAGTATATTCCACCAACTATGCAATTTTCTACCCTCCTTCTGACCCCACCAAAAAAAAAATACACATATTAAGGGTAAATCTCATCAAGTGTCTGAATCACTGCTGTTCAATAGAACTTTCTGCAATTATGAAAATGCAATTTATAATTGCACTGTTCAAACAGCAACCACTAGGCCAACTGTGGCTACTGAACACTTGAAAACAACTGAATTGTTACGTTTATTTCATGTCAGTTCACTTAAATAGCCACAGCTGGCTGGTGGCGACTATCCTGGATAGGGCAGTTCTAGATCTCACCACCGGCTTGGAAGACACAAAGAGAACAGAGATACACGTTTAAAGATACAATCAGCTAAATGTGAAACGGCGAGGAGAAGCAAGGTGTTAAACCCAAATTTCAAAATCCGAGAGACCACCAATTGGGTCTCTCAAAGGCAATGAGGGGATGGTGACAGATAAAAAACATAAAAAGTGCATCAACCAAGTGCAAAAGGCAGATCCCTGTGGGATTTTGGTTGAGACGAGCTGGAGACATTTCTGGGAGAGCGGAAGAAACCTGGACCCAACGGGATACTGACATGAAGGAAATTCTATTAAGGCCCACAGGTGTCGTGACATTACTGCGGTTTCGTCAAGCTGAAAAACCAGGCTCTCTGGGGAGAAGCCCCGGTGGCGTCCAGGCCAGAAGTCCGCGAAATCCACTACTGGAACCGCGTGTTAACGACTGGCTCGAGCCGAACTTCAGGCCGCCGAAAAGGAGGCAGCCGTGGGAGCGTGGACGGCTGACAGCTCAGCATCCACACCGCGGTGGGAAGGGAGGCGCCGGGCCGCGGTCCTCGACTCCTGGACCCGGTACGACCCGCACGCGGGCTCTGGCGGCTGCATCGACCGCGTCCAAGGGCAGGATCCGGGTCTGCGACTCGCTGCCCATCTTGACTTCGAGGCCTCCTTTGCCGTCCTGACCAGCGCTCCGGACACTGCCCAGGGGCC